TGTGACAAATTTAAAAAACAAAGTGGGGTGTTGGATAGAGAGTGTCTAAATGTAGCTATTTTAGAACTGATGGAGGAAGGCCTTGAAGATTAGTCATAGCAGGGATGGGTGCATTTCAGGCAGAAGTAAAGGGTAGGCTAAAAGCCTAAACAAGGAAAGGTAAGGGCAAGCAGAAAGTTGAACCAACTAGGAATGACTAGATCATTTCCCATGAAGTTCATTATTAATAAAACATATAAAGAATAAAAGAGGATATGTTGTTATTTTGAACACATTATTGAATTGGATGTCATGTGGTATGAATGTAATATGGGAGTGACACATTTAGGAAATATTTAGAACTTAGAGATTTTACACATTAGTTTCACCCCCCCACCCAAAAAAAAAAAAAAAAAAAAAAGGGACAAAACACCTAAAGAGAGAAGAGAGCTTTGGTGTTTAGGGATTGAAGTAGCCAGGAAAACAAATGTGTTGGGTGCTGTGTTACAGTTTTTGCACACTTAATGCCAAACCTTACAAAGCAGGTAATATTAATCACATTTTACAGAGGCACACCTGAAGCTCAAGAAGTCAAACATCTAGGAAATAATAGATTCAAACCTAAACTCACCTATTTCCAAAACCACTTCCCCACCCAAATAGGCCTTTTGTCTCTGAAATTGCCCTTCAGACTATATTTTTCTAAGACTTTCATTTCATTCTCCTTTGTGTTGTAGTGACAAGTTTTGAGCTGAAGACAGATTTCAACTCAGCCTCATTCTTCCTGACTCTCAGTTAAGCAATTCTTTCCTATACAGTTAACTTTTCAGCACAGCTTTCAATGATGGGTCTTAGTGAGCAGTAGGCTATTAATGATGCATGTGCTTCCTGTGGAGACTGGTTCCAGGAGAAGAGGAGCACCTGATTGTTTTCAGTGCCACACAACAAGTTGCTAGAAAGGACAAAATGCCTATTAGGCTTAAAAATTATTTCCAAAATTACAGATGTAATCCCTTTTAAAATATTTTGAACACCAAGAACTAGGACAAAATATGAAAATTCATGACTTCTGCCTATGTTTTTAGTCTGGAAAGTATCATTATTTGAATCTCACATAGTATCTTGAGCTGCAAATAAAGAAAACCAATAGTTATACATAGTCTTCAGCACCATTCATTCTGTTTTTGACCAAATGCCCTGTAATCCTTATGATTCCACACTTTAAAATCTACCCTGAAATAACATTTATCTTTTTCAAAGTCCTCAACCATAAATCAACCATAATGGAAGCTCTTCTTGCTTTTATTGCAAGGATATATGCTGCAATCTTCGTGTCTAAAGTGTTTACCTGGCTTTTTCACAGCTGACTCAGTAGATTGGAACCTTTTAATGCAACCTGCATGGCATGTGGTCACCAAATCTATGTGAAGTCTTTATAATTTTTATATGATTGATAGCATATTGCTCTTCACTGGTGAGGGGAACCATATCTGCTTCCTGCTTATCTTTGTAGATGTAGGGTTACTTAATCCATGTACTTTCATGATTGGTACTTGAAATGTAGAAATATGAAGGAAAAGAGAAAAGCAACCAGGCTCAACAAGTCTGTGTTTGACTTTTAGGCCCAGACATTTTCCACTTATATTATGCTACATCCCAGAGTTGTAAAACCAAAGCTCCCTTTTCTGCAAAGTAACCCAGTTAATATGGAGAGATGAAGAATAAATTAACTAATTAATTAATCAGTTATTTGATTAATCAAATGCCATGTCTTTAGGAGGGAAACTATTTTTGGCTTTTATTATTTTTAATTGACACATGATAATTTCATATATTTATGGAGTACCATGTGATATTTGATATAGGTATACACTGTGTAATGACCATTTAGGGTATCCATCACTGCAAACATTTATCATTTCTTTGTGTTGGGAACATTCAAAATCTGCTCTTTTAGCTACTTGAAAATATATAACCAGTTGTTCATTATAGTCACCTTATTAGTGCTACAGAACAGTACAACTTAATCCTCTTATCTGGCTATACTTTTGTATCCATTAACCAACCTTTGGAAAAGCTCCTTTCTTAAAAGCTTTGTAATTCCACAGTTTTCCAGAACTATAGTCCACGGCTGTCTTTAAGACCTCCATTCAACTCCTCATCCCTCATGATCCTATATTAGATACCGTTTTCCTCTGTGTTAAATGCATATGACTGTACTTCAAAACTTGCCCCAAAACTTCCCTCTTTCTATTTTTCATGACATTTCTCTCTAAAATGATAAATGTGAGCTTTTAAACTGTAGTGTTTTATCAATGCTGGGCATCATTACTAAACACAACTCAAGACCTTCTTCTAAGAAAACTTTCTGAGGTTACCTTTAGCTACGCATTCTTTAATTAATTCTGCTGATATTTCACCTGTAATCTATGTCAGACATACGTATGTCTCAGAACCTCAGAGATGAATAAGATGAATGAGAAACTACTCCCTTAGGAATTTTATAATCTGCTTCCCAACCCTACTCTCTAAGTCTACTTCTCCTCTTCTGAGTCTACCTGTTCACCATTTTAATTGTTGCTCTTGTTAACGGTTTCTCTTACTAATCATGAACTCCCAGGGATCATGTGCAAATGTTGTCGCTAGCCAAAAAATGTGGGTGGTGTCATGCTGATTCAAAACCATGGACTTCTGATAAGCAACTTAATCTCTAAGCTTCAGTTTTCTCATTTAAAATGCAAATTATACTTACTATACAAAGTAGTTGTTACAAGTAAATGAGTTAATAATTTTAGTGTACAAAGGAGATAATAAATGGTTGCTCTGTCGTGTCACTTACTTGTCAATAACAGCTCCATTAACCTTTCATATTAAATATAAATGTTACACTCCGCTATTGGATGCCCTCAAGTAAGATCCTCCACCTGCTCTGTCAGCCTTCTCTTACATATCCTCTACACATTCTCTCTCTGAAATCAAAAGTTCTACTTCTTGAATATACCCTTCTCTTTTTACCATGAGGCAGACCAGTAGTTACTGCCATGTTTTGAGTGCCCATTGTGATTTAAGAAGGCGTTCTAGCCTGGGCCTGGTAGCACATGTCTATAATCCCAGCAGTTTGGGAGGCTGAGGCTAGCAGATCGCTTGAGCCCAGGAGTTCAAGGCCAGCCTGAGCAACTTGCAAAACCCTACTTCTACAAAAAATACAAAAAGTAGCCAGGCATGGTGGTGCACACCTACACTCCCAGCTACTTGGGAGGCTGAGGTGGGAGGATCAGTTGAGCTCAGGAGGTCAAGGCTGCAGTGAGCCAAGATCACACCACTGCACTCTAGCCTTGGTGACAGAGTGAGAACCTATCTCAACAACAACAAAAAGGTGTTTGGTGCTTACATATATTTTTGCTTATTGCCTAGTTTTAATGTAGTGGTTAAGAATACAGATCCAGAAAAAACAAATGTCGTATGTTCCCATTGATAAGTGGGAGCTAAGCTATGAGAATGCAAAGGCATGAGAATGATACAGTGGACTTTGGGGACTCAGGTAGAAGGAAGGTAGGTGGGGTGAAGGATAAAAGACTACATAATGGGTAGAGTGTACATTGCTTGGGTAATGGGTACACCAGAATCTCAGAAACTACCACTAAGGGACTTATTCATGTAACCAAAAACCACCTATTCCCCAAAAATTACTGAAACAAAAAAATAAAAAATACAATAAAATTTTCAAAAAGAGTGCAGATCCAGAGTCCAACTTCTTGTTTATTTTCATACCTTGGCTGTGCAGTCTTCTAGCTGTGTGACAATGGACAAGTCACCTAAGCTCCCTAAAATTCAGTGTCCTCACCTGTAAATAGAAATAATAACAGTAACTATTATAGTGCTGTGTGAGAATTAAAAATAATAACTTATGTAAAGCAGTTAACACAGTAACTCATAGTAAGCTCTTAATAAATGTCAGCTGTTTTTATTACTAATGAACTTCTTGTCATTGTCTTCTCATTCAACTCTGCAAGGTCTTTTATAAATGGTGAAAAAAAGTGAAGTAGCTCTTTCAGATCAGCAACACAGCAAGTAATTGGCAAAGATGGGACTTGAAACCAGAACTGTCTGGTTCCAAAATCCCTATCTTTCCCACCACATTGTTGCCTTGTGCTAATCCCTCTACCTGAAAAGTATCCTTCCTTATGTCTAATTGGAATAATCTTTTGAAACCCGTATCAGGTGCTGCCTCCTTCACCAAACTCTCCTTGATCCCCATCTAAATATGATCCCTCCCTCAAAACCCTCAATTTGTCATTTTTACACAGCATTATGCTACAGTTACTTGCACACTAAACCATGAGTTCTTTGACACCAGAATGAGGTTAGACCACTGTTTCCTGTAAAACAGAGCACTTTGCACTAAGTAGATGCTTACACTTTGCACTAAGTAGATACTTAATAAACAGTCACTTGAACTGAAAAGAGGTTGTTAAGGTCGCAGATGGGAAAATCTGCCTGATCAATCCAGGAATCATTTATTTATGTGTCTCTAGGCCAGACCCTATAATAGACACTGGGTTCAAAGAGTTATATAAGACAAATTCCTGGCCGGGTACGGTGACTCACACCTGTAATCCCAGCACTTTGGGAGGCCGAGGTGGGTGAATCACCTGAGGTCAGGAGTTCAAGATCCGTCTGGCCAACATGGAGAAACCCCATCTCTACTAGAAATACAAAAATTAGCCGGGTGTGGTGGCGTGCACCTATAATCTCAGCTACTCAGGAGGCTGAAGCAGGAGAATCGCTTAAACCCAGGAGGCGGAGGTTGCAGTGAGCCGAGATCACGCCATTGCACTCTAGCCTGGGTGACAATAATGAAACTCTGTCTCAAAAAAACAAATTCCTGCCCTCAAAGAACTTGCAATTTGATAAAAGCACTTTGAAATCAGAAAGTAATTATTTTTAATGGAGCCATTATGTAATCAAATGGAGCAAAAGCTTAAGTAATGCAAATGAATTCTTATTTACTATTTGTACAGATACAGTTGTCTCCTCCAGCTGCTGTACCAGTTTAGACTACATCGTCACCTACCTCTTCAAGCACATAGCAAAAGAGGGCAAGAAGCCACTTCGATGCAGAGAGGCTACCCAGGCTGGTCAGAGACTATTACATTTTATGCAGCAAAACCCAGATGTCCTGCAGCAGGTAACTGGTGGTTGATCACCTAGCTTATGAAACAAATGTTCCCAGAAGCCATACCTGGCCCTGAATTTATCTTAGAGCAGCCGGTCTTGCTAAGACTTTTTACACTGGTTAAAAAAAAAATATATATATATATATATATGTATGTATGTATGTATATGTGTGTGTGTGTACATATATGTATATATATAATATAAATACATACATATATAAATACATATATATGTATGTGTCTGTATATATTATATAGTCTGGGAGTATTTTCCCTGAAAGTGGGGAAAAAACACAGGCCTTAGGATTGCCTACCCTCAAGAAATACCTGGGTTGTTCATCTCACCTCAGTGGAGCAAGAATTCAAAAAGAGGATAGTTTTTCCAGAGGCCTGAGAAAAATTAGACAAAACTGGAACTGGAAACAGTCAGCCCCTGATTTCTCTCCTGGTGTCTCTGATAATGTCATCTTAAGTTTGCCTTATGAATACTCCGGTATATTGGGAAACTGCAGTTTGCTGGACTCCTGGTGTATGCCAGGCAGCTTGCTAGGAATTTCATTCATCATATCATAGTTGTTATTTTTGCCATTTTAAAATGAGAAATCTTGGTTCAGATAGGTTAGGTAATATGTTCAATAACATCTAACTAATAAGTAATAAAGCCACAATTTGTTTATTTTCTAATGTATTTTCTAAGTAGCTAATGGGTTAGGTCCAAGTTTAATACCATTTTAAAAAACTCGCTTGTGCAAATAACAGTAACGGCATGCATAAGAAATGAATATTGCAAGGTGCAGTACCTGTAGTACCAGCTGCTCCAGAGGCAGAGGCAGGAGGATTGCTTGAGCCCAGAAGTTCAAGACCAGCCTGGGCAACATAGCAAGACCCCATCTCTAAATAAGAAGATTTAGGCTGGGCACGGTGGTCACGCCTGTAATCCCAGCACTTTGGGAGGCCAAGGCAGGCAGATCATGAGTTCAGGAGTTCAAGACCAGCCTGACTGATATGGTGAAACCCCGTCTCTACTAAAAATACAAAAATTAGCCTGGCGTGGTGGCACACACCTGTAGTCCCAGCTAGTCGGGAGGCTGAGGCAGAAGAATTGCTTGAACCCGGGAGGCAGAGGTTGCAGTGAGCCGAGATCACGCCACTGCACTCCAGCCTGGCGAGAGAGCGAGACTCCATCTCAAAAAAAAAAAAAAAAGAAAGAAAATTTTAAAAAAATTTTTTTAAATGTACATGCCAAAAATATTTCAAAAAGAACAATACCATTTTTTATGGCTATGCCATCACTATATTTTCCTTTCTTTCTTTTTTTTTTTTTGTAGAGAAGGGTTTTTGCCACGTTGCCAGGCTAGTTTTGAACTCCTGAGCACAAACAGTCCTCCCACCTCAGCCTCCCAAGGTGCTGGGATTACAGGTGTGAGCCACTGCACCTAGCCCCATCACTATATTTTCTAATTCTACTAAATTTGGAAAGTATCTTCATCCTGTTTTCAGTTGTTTTCTTTTGCCAAATTACATCCATAATAGTTTGTAATTTGCAAATGTAAACACGTCAATAGTGTGTGGCTGTATGACCGTTAGGGAGCAAATAAGTTGTCTGCAATCATCAGAAAATGTCGGCCGGGTGCAGTGGCTCACGCCTGTAATATCAGCACTTTGGGAGGCCAAGGCAGGTGGATCATGAGGTGAGGAGTTCAAGACCAGCCTGGCCAATATGGTGAAACCCTGTCTCTACTAAAAATACAAAAATTAGCTGGGCATGGTGGTGTGTGCCTGTATTCCCAGCTATGTGGGAGGCTGAGGCAGGAGAATTGCTTGAACCTGGGAAGCAGAGGTTGCAGTGAGCGAGATCACACTACTGCACTCTGGCCTGGCAACAGAGCGAGCGTCCATCTCAAAAAAAAAGAAAAAGAAAAAATGTCACTCTATATCAGTAAATGATGAAAACAGAATGAGACAGCTATGAAAGAGGGTGCCTTCCTGGCTGTCATTTTTTGCTAATATTTAAATGAAATTATGTAAACTTTATTTGTGGTGATGTTTCAGTTAACCAGTTATTTTCCAAGGATAATGGGTGTCATTCATATTTTGTGTAACTAGGCAAAGGGCTGTAGACCTGTAATTATTTGGTGTGACCCTGGAACTGTTACGACGTGTTGGTAATGTAAAGGAAAAAGGAAGGTATCTCACATTTAGTGAGAATTTATTATGTGCCAGGTGCAAGAGCTGTTAAGATTCATAAGACATAATTTATCTCCTTACAAAATTTCTTGCCATGGGACAAAGAGACAAGTAACTCACCAGTTATTTGATAATTTAATTAACATAGTGATGACAAAGAAAGTGAAATATAAGGGGAGGGAGTATTGTCGGAGAAGTCTCCTCATTTAGACCCCACAACAACCCCGAAAAGTGGGTATCAGCATCCCCATTTTACAGATGAATAAACTGAGGTACAGAGAGATCAGCTGGAAAGTGGTAGAACTGGAATTTGAAGCAAGGTCTGTTTGACTCAAAAGCCCAAGTCCTTACTACTCACACAATTGATATTCAAGGTGAAGATAATATCTCTGCTTCACCTGGAGTGGCTTTTCAAAATACACGTGCTATCAAAATGTCAGTGCGTCTCTCCTCCCTCCCCAACCCACCCAAATGCAGTAGCCACTGGTACTGGTGGGACTGTATCACAGCACTCCTGTGTTTTACATGGAGAAGGTTGAGGATCACTGACTTAGAGCATGTCCCCACCAAAAAAAAAAATATATATATATATATATTCATGGATTGGCCAGGAATCAGACCCAGCCTTTACCCCACCATGGCAAGGGACAAGTCTGCCACCAAATCACTCCTACCAGCGCTCAGCCATAATCACAGTATTCTCCCATAAACTTTGGCAGAAACTTTTAAGTTGGTAGAAAATTTTAGCAAAAATCAATAGACTATGGCCCTAGACAAAATACCATATCAGATTTTGCAAAGCAAGTAATGTGGTTGAGCAGGAGACAAATCAAGTTTGTCTTTACTCAGAATTAGCGTGCATTTGTTGGTTTAAGTAATTTCTGTGTGTTAATAATACTTGGTAATCCTTCACTTTATAGCATATGAGTAAGTAGTGATATATCTTTATTAACAGTGGAATACATTCTATTTATTTGGAATGTAGGCTTTCAGATAGCATTTTAAATATTAATGACTGGGCTCTGGTAGTCAGCATAAATATGATTTGCATTAGTACTAGGTTATATCATCTTGAGTGCCTCTGATGTCAGCTATTAGGTATAGTAATATCTGACATCATCTCCTTAGGTCACTGACAACTTTGACCTCTATTCTTATGCACAGTTTCTGTCGTCTCAAAAGCTCTTTTGAATTGATTTGAAATTTTGACTCTTCCCTTTATGAGGCAGTAAAATTGATAATTATTCAGATGGGAACAGAGCGCTGAGTGAAAAATCAATTCCACCCGCTCTCTGCTGCGTATAAAATTACTTCTGAGTCGGCTGGACTGAACGGATGGCCAGAGTAAAAGCAGCAGGCAGGAGCAGTGGGAAGAATTAGCTGGACAGAACGAATAGCCTGAAGGGATGGACTTGAAAAAGAGGGAGTGGGCCAGTTGGGGGTTATTATTAGCAGGGATGGGTCCCATTGATCATCTGTTTACATCAGCTTTCCAAGACCTTATAAATCAGCCCTGAAGAGCAGCAGAACCCAAGATTCAGCCTGTCACCAGCGGGATCTTATATTGGGTTATTTTCATTTTCACACGCAGATGAAAAGTGAGCCATTGATTATTCATTGGTTGCCCATTAAATGCTGTTTTTAATAGATGATTTGCCTATCACAGAAGGTAATGAACAAAGTAACTGCTTCATAACTTGAGGTTTCAGTTTTCAAGGCATCTGTGTCGGTTAAGTAATGCCTAACCCTATTAAAAGGAATGGATTACAAATTGCTTAACAGTTCTGAAAAACTAGACCCTAATGACTAATTGTGCTTGGAGTTTAGAGAGGGTTTGTCAGCTCTTTAAACTAAACTGATACAATGATACTGCAATTATTTACTAGTTTGAACTGTTTTTCCCCCCAACCTGGGCCTATTTTGCTGGAAGCATAATTGCGTGAGGAATGTTAATTCCAAATTGCAAAAGTTATCTCCTCAAGCTTCCATAGTAAAGGAAGCATGAACCCACATAAAGGTTTTCCAACATCCTTACAGGCCGTTCCATTTGTATATAGCAGCCTGGGAAAGATATTTTATGTGCCTCTCACCTGGAAATGTGTTTATTATTCCCTGCTATGTGGCTTTAGAGCTTCAAAATTTTTAAAAATGTTCTCTAAATAAGCCATTTTTCATATTTTGCAAACAACTCTAACTTTGCAAGCATTAAAATTTAGTCCATATGAAGGTCCACTGTACGTGAATCTATTTGAAGTAAAAACAATTGCGTCACCAGCATTGCTTTGACCTAACAATTGAGAAAAACCCAGTTTACATAAATTAAGGTGGAAAATTCCCCAAGCATTTTTATGTTATTAGAAGGATAAACTAAAAATTTAAGGAGAGACCAACAGTAACAGTGATCAAATTACTAATTACTACCAATTCATAGCAGCTAAGACACTGATCTGCTACAATAATTTGGAAGACAACATTTCTTTGTGAAATTTTTTCAGTTTCATCACTGGTCAGTAAGTATTTGTATCCATAACACATAGTTATATGTAATTTGTGAGATTATTAGAATAAGACACTGATCCTGAAAGCTTCTCTAAATCAGAATTCCAGTTAAAACTAATTGCTCTAGAAATTGTAGCACCTTCCACAGAAATATAACAAGGACTATTATGCAATTAATTTGTTAAAAGGGGTATTTTTAGCAATTATCGTCTTGAAAACCTTAATATATTGCATAGAGGAATTAGAGCAGTTAGGGTTGAATTCATCTTACTCTCGTCTATTTATCTATTTTGCTCAAGTCAACTGTACTGAAATCCAAAAGAAA